TATTTTTTGTCTTTTGTCTTAAATTTTTGAATTTCTATATTGTAATTTTAATAATTTTATTTTTACTATTTATTAATTTTTTTTAATATTTTATAACATTATTGAAATCTTATAATTTTAATCTCTATAATTTTATCTTATTTTTCATTTTATAAATATAATTTGGATTATTCATTTTATAATTAAATTAATTTTTTTAATTTTTATAAGTTTACATAAAAAAATGTATTGAAATCTCTCAATTTTTGAAGGTACCGTAGTAACTCCCCGTTAATAATATGTTCTCAATTGTCATGTCAACATTTTCATATTTGCCATGTCAGCTTTATGCGGAGAAAGAAAATTATACTCCGCCACATCAACTATTAAGCCACAAATATATATAATTTTGCATCAAATTATTTATTTATTTATGAGTTAATGTTTTAAGAATTTTATTTCTTATTATATGTTTTTACTAAATTAACTAAACACACATAGTTGACTTAAAGATTCTATTTACACTTAAATTAACTAGATATTGTCTATCTATGTTTTCTTCCTTCTCAACTATATATGTTGTTTAGTACTTTATATGTTTGGGATTTTCTGATTTTCAAGTGGCTTGAGCCAAATTCAAGATATGTTTGGTGCAAAATTCGCTATCGTGTTAGATGTAACTTCATAGCATCGGGCGTGACTTAAATCAAGAGTTTCTATCTTACTCACGTCAAATGCATGATTGGTAGCATTGGACGTGAGATGAGAGAATTGACTTTGTCTAGATTGGTGTTGGGCACCAAAGGAGTGCTGTCATGCTTGAGGAGAAAAATCATCTCATATTGATTTAGGGATGGGTGTGGGACCTTGCCATGCTAGGTGTGAGGGTCCAAAGGGTCTCCACCTAATCCATGTCGAGCGTGGGTTGTATAGTGTTGGACATGAGTAAAATAGAGAGCTCTCTACCTCAATGGTGTTGAGCATAAGGTGTGTAGCATTGGGTGCGAGTTACTTGATGATATCTTGTTGCTTGATGAATTAAATGGTGAACATGAATATGTTAGGTGAATCTATTGCATGTTGTATGTTGATTGATGATAATTATTCTATTTATGTTGATAAGGGATGCATATATAAATGATTGTATGGTTGGATTGTTGAGATGCATTGGTATGCCATAAATTTATTTATGTTGATAAGGGATGCATATATAAATGATTGTATGGTTGGATTGTTGAGATGCATTGGTATGCCATAAATTTATTTATGTTGATAAGGGATGCATATATAAATGATTGTATGGTTGGATTGTTGAGATGCATTGGTATGCCATAAATTGATTTATGTTGATAATTTTGTATTTATTGCCCTGAGGCAATGCATATAGATGTATGTTGTTGAGGTGTGATGTTGAGAAAGTTATAGACATTTATGCATGATTTGTTGACTTGTTTAGGTGTCGATGTTGGGAGTGTTATAGGCATTTAGGTATGTTGAATGACTTAAGATCAGAGGAGATGTTGTTTGTGAAATTTGAATATCGATTGTGAGGATATTGGTGTGCACTCTGGGAGGCCAGTTATTGAAAAGTCCTTTTTGAGTAGGTGTTAAACTCTTGGAGTAGATTACTGGGTCTCCTTTAGATCCTTAGTCAA